AAAATATTACCAGTATTTTGACCAAAATTATTATAGTGTTTGGTCGAAAAATCCCAACCCGTTTCGGCACCAGCTTTTAATCTTGAATATAACTCATTTTTATCATCTATGGATGAAAAGGGCATAGCTAAAGTTTTGTCTTGACTATAAACAAAAAAGGCATTTATATTAATCATGTATATTTTTATTTGAAAACCAATTCCACACTTACTAATAGGATTCGGGTCGTGGTCCCCGGGTATGTGTGTTGTACTGTCCCATAATGTAGGTATTACCTGCCTTTTCAACTTTTATTGTTCGGTTCGTCATCCAAAAATTAAATTCTGCTTCCAAATACTGTTAAAAAATATTCAAATATTTTAAAATGACTTTAAAAAAATATAAGTATTTTCTTTGTTTATATAGTGCAACATAAATTAATATCAAATTCAGCTTAGATCTTTACTATTTTTAAATCAATATTAATGAGTGTTCACTAAAGTTGATTTTCAAAAAAAAAAAAAAATTAAACTTAAATTGAATAGTCATGGAAAATTTACTTGTATGTTTTTCTTGATAAACTCCAAATCATCTGTATACGTATAATATGATGCAGCCATTTGGATGAGAAGCGGTGGCTGAGATCTCATTAAATAGTAAATTCTACTTCCGTTTGGTACATAACCAAAGCGGTGAACCAAGTAAAGGAAATTTTGTATGATTCCTCTAGCAGAATCTTTCATATCACACAGTATTGCCCCTACGAAAATTATTTATTATTTTCACCATGGATTTATAATTTATAATAGTCGTTTTTTAATGAGTCGTTTTCTCACCTCTTATGATCCAATACGAATCCCAATAATAGAGCTCAGTGAATCTACCACCAGCTATGAAGAATCCATTTGGTAAATAAATTGATGAATGCCGATCAGGGTTTATTTTAACGTCTTCATCCACCCTTCGAGCCAACCTTTTCCAAATTTGATTAAGTTGTAAAATCCAAATCCTTAAAAATAAATTAAATTAAAATATGGTATTTTCCTAACCTCGATCAAAATGTTGTCGCCTTGGTACATTATTTATAATAATTAATGTATTTTCATGTATTAAATATTACTTGTAATTTTGATCTTGTACGTAAGTACTAATAGTGGGAGTCTCAACAAAATCAGGCGGCACCCACTCGACCAACGGGTCATCACTGAAGTTGTCTTCAACAAATTTAGTAAGTACAGCACGAGTAGGCACTCGACCGTTATTTCGTAATTTCAATTCTCTATATGATTTTATGATTTCAGCTTCACTTCGTCGTAACTTTTTGTCCACAAAAGTTTTCGAGTCTGAATACAGCTGTTGCATTTGTATATCGTCTAGAAGTTCTCCGTGACAATATATATCACTATAATAAGTAATAACACATAAAAATACCATATGATTACAAACAATGACAAATAATCTTTAGATTTTACAGTSATCTGAAAATGCCTAATGTACAGTTGGATTTTGTAAATAATATAAAATAGTTTCATGTCATAATAATTTACACGTGCATACAGAACGATTCGAATACGTCGTATAGAAAAGGCCAATTTGTAAATTTAACTTTGGAAGCTATTTTGAAGGTAAAAATATTTAATTTATTTAAATCAAGTTGA